ACAAAAACATAATTTCCAGCAAAATTTTGGGTTTTTTTAAGTCCCATCTGCCCCTTGTGCTAAGCCCAGACACAGCACAAAGTCAGCACCAAAACACAGCAGCAGCAGAAGTGTGCACTTGAACAGGAAGCACCGTGTGCCTGCACATTCCTTCTTCACAGTGATTTTCCTGGTTATTCCCTGCCTAGCTGAGCATGTTATAAGTGGAGCTAAGCACAGAAAGCAGCTCATAGGACAAAGAAGGTCTTTGCACCCCTGCTGTCCTGTGCTCTCATTCAGAGAGTGGAGAGAATTTATTGCATAACAGTGTTCTCCAGCCCTCCTTTTTGTGGTAAAATGGAACAAAACAGATTTTCTGTGTATGTGTTGCAAAACAAGATCAGTAGATGCAACACGGAGTTCTCATGGTGTTGTGTACTGGTGCAGCAACCTCCAGCAGGGATTTCACTACGCTGGCAGAGAAAGGGATGTGCCAACTCAAGCCAACTGCGACCAGGCGTGCATTTCATTTGTGAACAGCTAAGGAAACCACAGCATGATGCCAGTGGAGGGGAAAGAATCAGGCAGAAATAATTGCATTGTTTCAACATGGGGAAACAGTTACACTAATCCTCTTGAAAATCCTGTTTATGGAACCATTAGCTCTGAAAATTTATTTTCTGGAACTGTGACTTTCCAGAGTTTCCACTAAGACAATTTTTGATTGATTGTTTGTGTTCAAAGTAATTCCTGCACCTACCAGCAAAAAGAATTATAAACAGTTTCATTTAATGTAAATTATTATCACTTTTTAAGTCAGCTAGGGAGGCTCTGGAGCACACATCTCCTACAGATGGTCTGTCCATTCATGTCCAGGCTGACACAGGGAGTGCAATGTCTTGGTCCTTGACTTTCCCTATGCCTTGATAAACCACATATACACAGGTTTGACAGGCACACTGTGCATTCAAAAACAGTCATACACCTGGTAGCCCAAACAAGTGGGATAGGTCTATCAGAGGCTACACGTGTCCTGCAGGATTCTGTTAGTATCTGCAGGGAAAGGAGACAATTTATTTTGCCTGATAATGTTTAAAATATTAGCTGCTACTATATTCATAGATGTCTTAGCCAGATGAATAAGGAGCCATAGATCAAATTGCAACTTTGTTTACAGAGGTTAAAAAAAGGTAAATGGGGGAAAATTTTGATTTCTGTAAAGACAGCACATCCATATTGATAAGGAAAAAAAAAGATATTATGATGAATAGATTATTGCAGATCTTAGCAATAAAATCAGAAAGAACAAGATTATGAAATTTCATCATGTCAGAAACACTGAAATTCTTTGTTCCTTTGTCCTCCTACCAGAAACTCTCTTAATAGCATTGAAACAACACTTTTAGGAAATTGGGTTATTCACATAAAATAGGGAAAATACTAATTCATGATAGATAAAATCAAAGTAACTTTAAAATAATTTTAATAATTTTTAATAATCCACATTTTGATATCAAAAGCTATACCTACATTAAGCAATTTGAAACATATCTTAAAAAGACAAGAAGACAACATGCAAATACTGGACTACATTTAATAACTAAATTTAAAGGTGAGAAGTTAGAATTCAGTTTTATGAGAATTGGCCCAAGACCCACAGGTAAACAACACTAGCAAAAAAAAACACTCTTACAGGGAAAAAGATGCTCTTTCTCCCTCTATGGATATAGTATATTTTTCAAATGGAGCTCAACAAATAAATAAAGAGAAACTTATTAAATTGAGTAGCTAATACAAAAAATACATGAAGCATCACAAGCAGTTCAGTTTTGTTCAGGCTTCATCCAGACTGAGAGCTACAGGAACTGTGACAGAACAAGCTCCATTTTACTATCACTTTCTAAAATTACAGTCTGACAAGGTAAGTAATATTTTACTCTACGCACTAATGTAACTAAGTAAAGCTTGGAGACTTACCTACTTGTTCTCCTTCTCCATCTTATTTTGGATCCCATGTGCTGTGAATACACACAGCAGCATATGTCCTTAATTTGAAAGTGTATTACTGTTTCAAAGTTTCCATTAACTAGCAATTCAAGAGTTAAAAACTTAGGAAGTCTCATCTGGACATTCAGAACAAAACAAAAAAAAAACCAAAAAAACCACCAAAAAACCAACCCCAAAAACAAACCAAAAACAACAACAACAAAAAAAAAAATCAAGTATTTCCAGACCTGAGCTAAATTCTGTTTACTTCTTTTCTGCATATATGCAACTTTTCAAAAAACTATTCTTTCAGAGATTGACCACGGGAAAATTTGAAAAGAATGAATTTATTTGCAAAATACTAGATCACAGGTACAAGCCATAACTAAGGTGCACAGATAGAAGAGCACACATCCTTGGGATACTGTTAAGTATGCCAGCCTCAGGACTGAAGGTAGTAGAGGTGAGTGGCATTGTGGCACTGAACATAAACACCACCAGGGATGATCATTCCACTAGGTGTGATCCACTTCAGTGTGTAATCACCCTTTCTATGAAGAAATTCCCCCTTACATCTAGCCTAAACTTCCCCTGATGCACCTTAAGACTGTATCCTCTTGTCCTGGTTGCATAGAAACACAGTGTTTCTCCTCACTGCTGGTAAACCAGTATATGAACCACCCTTCAGGAAAGGTAAGTAAGGCTACAAATAAAAATATGTGTTGAAAGGCCAGACTTCCCTGGCAGTTCCATCCAAGCTGCCAAAGCCTGCCTATGGCTGCTGAAGGGTTTCCCATTCAGCCTTTGCTGGAACTTTCCCATGAAAAAGGGAAAGAAGTGACAGCTGTTTTGGAAATCTATATGATCCTTGGTTTAGATCTCTTAAAAGTCAATTTATTTTGCTAGAAAAATGCAAAGAGGCCCTGGCAGCCAAAAGAAAATTAATTATTTTGCATACATTGTGTAACAGTATTCATTAGTTTTACATGAATGGTGAGAGGTCAGTCAGGAATAGAATCCCATTGTGCTACCCTTCAAAGAGCTTGCCATGTAATTGAATGGAATAAAGGAATTAAATATGCAGGCAGAATGAACACTAATGCTTAGCAAACAGCATATTGCAAACATCTACAGCTTCTCTGTCTAAATTCTTGAATTGAGGTCTTAGGGGAAGGTGATTAGATAAAAAGCAAAAACAAATAAAATAAATACTGGGGGATACATGTGCATAAAACACACAAAAAAAAGAGAAGTATAACGGGATATGAATGCCACAGCATATCGAACTTGTCGTGTATTAGCACATAGTCTTACAATGTACATTATGTCTCTCTGCTGTTGTTTTCTGTACAGGGAGCATGCATGTGTAGGGCCATGTGAGAGACATTTTAGGAAATGTGGTAAAGTTCTGACCATATATATATCACAGAGCTAGCTTTTGTTCTGCAGAATGATGAGAACACTGTGAGTCAGTAAATGGAATAATTTAAATTTGAAAATAGCTCCCCAGAATCTGCTGAATCCATTCAGAGTTAACTAGCAGGAGAACATCACCATGAAGTGTTCTGGGTCCATCTGTTGGCAATATTATGATGGAAACAGCTTTTTAAATGCTATTTTCAACAAGCTATCACATAACAGCTTGTTTCAACAATATTTCATTACCTTTCTGTTTGTTTGCCACCTACTATAAAAAACAGCTTGGAAGGAAGGAGGCATTTCAGTACTATAGACTGGTGTAGGGTGGGAGGGACAGAGACAATACAGAAACAAGCAAAATGAGAAACAACTATAAAAATAAAAAATAGAAGAAACTGTAATTTTAGACTCTCTGCAATCTAGATTTAAACCAGCATGTGGAAACTGAGCTGTGGTGGTGTCAGAAGGGGATGGTCTGCACCAGCCTGTCAATCCAATTTTTGTACAGTGACACCATCAGCCACAGGAAGCCAATGGCTCCTAGACAGAAACGATAAATGCACCTAGCAATTACCTTTAATTCTGCAAGACCTTCTCAACTGTGCACTCCAGTAAGAACTGAAAGGAAAATTCACCTCCAACACTGTGACACAGTCACTTGTGTGGTACCAAAACAACCTGGCCTATTCAAGTCCTAGGAAAATATCATGTCCATCAGCTTGCTCCTCAAGTAAAACAAGTGCCAGTGACATACTCATGGTACAAAGCCTGCATCCAATAGCATCAGAGTGGCTCAGCTGCAGAGACCAGCTTAGGAATAAGGAACAGATGGCTGCACTTGAACCCAAAATTAGTAGATGAAGTTCTTTTGGTTCACCCTAAAAAAGTTTTGCAATTAGTCAATTCAGCATGGAGTTGTCTGAGCTAGCTTTGGCACACCTAATGTCATGGCTTTTTAAACAAAGAAACAGATCATCCCAAGGTTTATTCTGGTTTACCCATAATCCCACAATTCTAAAATAAACTCCTCTGTGCTGATTAACTCTATATTACTGATTCAAGTTCTAGCATGTATTTACTTTAAAGTTTTGGTTTTAAAGAGATGCACTCTTTAAAGAATTATATGGAGCACTCAAGTATTCCACACATTATGCATCTTGTTTCCCAAACAGGATTAGCAATATGGAAGTTCATAAGAAATATTGCATGGGTAAGTAAAATAAAAAACATATGAAACATTATAACTTCATGCAAATGAAGATGCAGAGAAAAGAAAGGAAACCTGAAAAAGTAATATGAAAAAAATGCTGATAAAATCACAACATAACCTTAAAAGAAGTGTATCCAAAAGTACAAAATACTGCAGAAGGACTTCCTTAATTATTAGCACTATATGAAACATCTACAGATAGCTCTCTATATATTTGGGCTCATTTGTAAAATATTTTATCTTCTGCTACTAAGATTGAATTAAGACAAAGTATTTTGTGTTCTGTTTATGCCTTTGACCTATCAAATGCGTAAAGCCATAACATCCTCTTATATACGTGCAAACACAGCCTGCTATTAAAAGGAGAAATACAACAAATAAGAGGATGCTTATGGTGAGCACCTACCTGAGGACGTATGACTTTCACTATGTTTTTAAGTGCAGTGTCTGGTGATGGAGGAGAGCAGTCAGGTGTTGGGCCTGTGGAGCTGTTTCTATGGCTACCAGATCCTGGTGCGGTAATTGCTACCTGAGGTGCATTATCTGTGAATAAAAATAACATCTATGTGAAATTACAAATACTTCATAGATTTTAAAGTAAAAAAGAACTTTGAAAACAGGTTACTCAGAACACTATTTAAACTTATAAAACTGAATATAATTTAAATATATTTGTCAAGGAATATATTGCATATCTACACTTATTTTTTCAGTCCATACATTCATTCTACGTTAAGGCAACATACAGCATTCTCTCAGTATCTAAACAAAATGAGGTGGAAACCAAGCATGAATATTTTACTTTCATTACTTTGAATTACTGACAGTGAATTCAAATACTATCACTATAACAGGGGAACTTGAAAGGGAGATTTATAATGCAACTTCTAGCTCATCCTGGAAAATCCTAACACATATGACCAAGCTTTACATATATCCATGTGTTACACAAACATATACTAACTTAAAACACGCTAACAGCCATCATTGACAACTTTCTTTAACATTGTGATTGATTAGCATAACTGACCAGCAAGGACTAATTACATGAAAATATGCTCAGTCTCTTGGGTAAAATTTGCATCCTCCATAGAGTTCTGCACTGCAGTAACTTCATTTCCAGCAGTATCTCAGCTATATTACCTACAGCTGGCCTAAAAATACTTGCATATCTGCATGTGTATGGGAAACTGCTCTTTGGACATATTTTGCTCTTACCATTTTATGGCACTGGGAAGGACCATTAAAAGGACTTAAAATAACATTCTTACATTCTCTAAATGTTCTTAATGCTGTTTGATCAATGTAAAGTTAGTAAGAATCAGATCAGAGGGTAGAGAGGACTATGAAATAGCTTCTCAGCTGTGAGAGTACCCATCACTGGAATGACTTAGCAGAAGGCAAAAAACTCCACATTACTTCAGGCCTCTAAAATTGTATCAGCAAAGAAATGCCTTAGTTCAGATTCGGGGTAAAGTGCCATCACCTGTGTATGGTTATGGTGGTTATTACAGTGCCTGTGAACTTAATGAGCACCTTTCTGAGTTACAAAGATATGCTCCATGCTCCAAAATGTGCTGTTACACCTGAAGCACTGCATCAAGACAATGCTGTCAAATATCATGTCTGTGACAGCCTGCAGGCTTCACAGAAGAAAGAAAGTTTTTTGTGATGGTGGTGGTTCTCCAATATGTGCTTCCACTCTGTGGACAAATCTACTCCAGAAAAACCCAAACATCAATAAGAAAAAACAGCTCTCTTAAACTGGAGAATTTTTGCCTGACCAACTTCTACAGGTACACTCATGAGCTCCTCCCTCTGCACAAGTCACAAATGCCTCTGTGAAAGCCATGACAAAGCTTCTCTCTCTCAGTCCTACTAACCTGAAAGAATTCTTGGAAGGGTAACAGAGATATTGAAAGGAAGGAAATACCCAGTTACATTAACAGAGATAATAATAGGATAAAGGGGAATAGTTTCAGGAAAGTAAATTTACAAATACTTTCATAGCACGAGTGATTCTAGGAGATCTGCAGTATTCTTCCTGCAGAAACACTGTGTAACTGGATGAGGTTTCTAATCAAGGTTTCTAATGAAATACAGTCTGAAAATTTATTCTTCCAAAACAAATGTCAGGCTGGAGTGTTTCAGCAATACCAATACAGCACTTAATGCAAGTATAAACAAAAATTCAGATGGCAGATTGGCAGACATCCAAAATGGACATGTCCTGTAGATAACCTCAGGTGTTACCTGACAGAGTGAACCCCTCCCTGTTACAGAAACAGAAAAGTCCAACTTTTTTTAAAAGTATCTCATTGAAATTGCCAGTCCCAAAGGTGTGCAGTCTTACAACCCAGATGAGTTTTTCCTGAATCATGAGCATGTGCAGAAAGCTTGGATCAGAAGTAATTTATTTCCTAAAGTAATAAAGGTGTGTTAATACAATGTATCAAAACTATTTTTACACAACCTTAGAAAAGAACTGAAAATTAATTCTCACAATAATGTAACTGACATGGAAGAATTTTGGTAGCATTTCAGAAAGCCTTAAGTCTATCACATTCTTTCCTGCCTGACCTGGTGTCTAACTTTATAATGTTGTTCACACGCACCATGTAAATGAGTATTCTGTGATATGAAAACCCAGCTCATCAAAAATGGGTTTGGCAAGAGCAGAAACCTCTAAAGCCTCGCTATACTCTGAAAATCTCATAGTGAGGACAAAAGCTAGATATGAGTAACACCTTAAGTGAGCTGAAAATCTTTGTGTCTTTTGCTCCAGACTACGAAACAGCATCTCCTTTTACTCTATGGACAGATAGAAAATCATCAATGAACCTCCGTTACTGAGGAATCAGAGTTGCTCTAAGAGATCCCTGCCCTCTCTTTGGGGAGCCAACAAACAAGGGACTACTACACTACTGTCAAGAAACGTGGGAATACAGGCACCATATATAGGAAGGTAAAAAATGAGTTCGAGAGTGAGAAATGCTCCACATGAATCCAGCTAAGTGCACTTAGTGCATTTATTTACTCATATTTGTGCAAGGAACAAACAGATGATTGTCTCTGACAAACAGCTAAAGCTATAAAGAACACAAACTCCATACTTCAGCAGTTCCTGCCTTTCTGCCACTATTTCCCTGTGAGCCTGTGTGGCTGTGCTTAGCACAAGTGCCCTTGAGCTACTTAGCACATGAAAGCCTTGCAAGTGAAATCAGGCAGTCTTGCAGATGCAGAAGCATTGCAAGGATGGATCACTCAAAGGACACATCATAAGAAACACAGACTGGTGTCAATGGTAACAATAGCAGTTGTCTGCCCACCAGTTTATTCTGTTTCAAAGCCTTGTTGATAGTCACCTCAGCTCAGTTTAACCACACTTCAAATATGCAGAAGAGGGTAACAGAGGAGTCAAGATATATGAGCAAGGTTTTGGTCTTTGCATAGAAGACTTCTTGTTGACCCTGTTCTGTAGTAGTGCACTGAAGGCTGGGTTTTCCCCCTTCATACATGCCACACAAGTGGCATTGAACTGACTGGGAGTGACATTCTTGAAAGGCAGACAGGAGGGGGAACAGGGCTGTTACATGCCCCACAAAACAGAGCTGAGAAAAAATATCTCCAGCTACCATGTGTGGCATGTATGAAGGGGGAAAACCCGGCACTCGGCTGGATTCATGTGGAGCATTTCTCACTCTAGAACTCATTTTTTTACCTTCCTGAGAAAAGAGTAGTTACAGATTTTCTTTCCAAGAAACAATCAAGCAGCAATTAAAAAAAAATCATGTTTATAGAGTCTCAAACAAAACTTTACAAAAAGAAGTTATAATTTTTTTTTAAATAAACAGCCCAAAAAAAACCATCCAACTGCTCAGTATTTCTTGCCTTTCCTTCTTTCTCAAGGGGCTAAGTTTCTGACATGTAATGATTTCTTGTAAACAATTTCTTTATTGTGGACAGCTGTTTATTTTCACAGTAGGATGTTCCCACTAGGCAACCAATAATGATTTACTACCTGGGTCTGCTCCATCAGAGAGAGAACAACACCATCAAATTAGTTTCTGCAACCAATTTGTAGCACCTGTTTATGTATATAGTATTTATAGTTTCATTAAGAGTATATTTGAATTTCTTTTATTTGGAATTAAATTATAAAATAATAATTTTAAAATTTTCCCTGGTGACAAAACTAAGGCAATTTTTTTTTCCCCTTCAGGTAACTATGATGGCAACACCGCAAGTTTCAGAAAAACATGCCATGGCAAATAGAACTTGGAAACTTAAGAAACTACCAAATTTACCTAGGAAAGATTAGCTCTCATGCTGAATTTCTGATAGGTGCTACAGATGGGGCCCACAGGGAAGTATTTACAACTGTCATACTCTTCCAGTTCCTGGCTCATGATGCAATAATCTAGATGTTTCTGTGTAAGTGAGAAAATATAAGGCTACAGAGATCATCTGGCAGCAAAACACTAATGACATGCAGCATACTCTAATATTCCTTCCTTCCTCCATCACATGTGAAGTTGTCACAAGGCTAACGTAGTTTGAGCTTATTCTGATTTTTGAAAATGCTTTTTTATGACTTAACATTCTCAATTTTCTTCATTTCCAGGCAAAGGAAATAGAATAGAACAAGGAAAATGTATGTATGTGTTCTTTTAGTATATTGTAAGAACAAACTAAGGAGTTATTCTAGGGTTGTCTTCTAAAGATGTCAGACAAAAACATAAAAATGCCAACTGTTTATCTTAGACGATTAAAAAAAAAACATATACAGGGAATTTTGCCCTTTCCTGTGCTATGTGACATCAGTCATTGGTTTCACATGTGTTTTTTCTTACGGAGCACTGAATGGAGGGAAATACCCTCATGGATAATAACAGACCATAACACCAGGGTTCAACGAGTGCTTCATTGACATTTTCATCCATCTATGGACTGTGAGGACAAACCACAGACTGCTCACTGAAACTTCTAAGAGATTTTTTTTTTCTCATAATGTACTCAAAGAAAAGGCACTATGTGTATACAATGCCACAATATTAACTATCAGGCAATATGAAGTACACCAACCAGAACACTTACTGCATCCCAGCAAGCAAAATATCAAAAACCAGACACAGCCCATATTCCAGAAATATAGTTAAAATTAGATTTCATCTCAGAAATAAATCTTTAAAATGGAACACACAGCTAATCTAGTTTTCTACTTTCATTGCAGAAACATGCTAGCATCCTTATCAAAATTTACAGTTATGTCTGTATTAGCTATTACATCAGTTATTTCTGCAACTTAGTGTAATGGCAATGGATCAGCACATCAAAAGCAGTTGATCTGCATGACAATCCACTTAAAATATATGTGAGTTTGAACTCCTAGCACTATCTAGCAACTTATTTATTCCACCATACACCCACATCATACATGCTAGTCACAACTTCCAGCATCCAGGATGACCCTGTGTTTTTGTGCCCACCTAAAATGGAGCATCACATCCAGAAAGAATCTGGTTTATGTGCTCCAAAGCTGG